AGAAACACATAAAGTGAAGATTTTCCATGAATCTTTCAACTTATTGTTTGCATGGTTACTGGTATTAATTTGTATAATTACACTATATAAAGGGTTTTGAGAACACAACACTGAAACATGCATTTACTGTTGCAAAATGGAAACACCATTACTATTAATACTGTGGATAGGTTCCCTTTATTGTGAAAGAAGGATTTTTTTCTGCTGTTACACCCATATTATATATTTTTTTAATTTACTGTTAACAGCTTTATATTGTGACACCACAGAAACACAGAAATATGAATAATACAAAGGAACACATCATCAGAGGGAGATGAAAGCTTTTGTCTGCAGTCGGGAACACAGCGACCCTCTTTGCAATGTGAAAACAACAGACTTAAATCCTCCACTTCTTCCTCCCTCCTCCTCCTCCCTGCAGCCATCCTCATCGCCCATCTGAAGCTCTCCACCGCCGAGCTGCGTCAGGTCTTGATGAACATGACCACGGACAGGCTGGAGTCCGCTCACATCAAGCAGCTGCTGCTCTACGCTCCGGACGACGAAGAGGTCAAACAGTACGAGCAGTTTGACCAGGACCCGGCCAAACTGAGCGAGCCCGACCAGTTCATCTTCCAGGTACAACCACAGAAAAAAGTCCAAGGCAGGGGGCAAGTTATTTAAAAGCGAGATGGAGGGATTCGAGTAAAATTGGTGTTTTGTCGTTTGAACGTTTCAGATGCTGATGGTGCCTGAGTATAAGACCCGTCTGCGGAGCCTCCACTTCAAGACGACCCTGCAGGAGAGGACGGAGGAGATGAAGGTTGCATACGATTACATCTACAAGGCCTCAGTGGAGCTGAAAAGCAGCAAGAAACTGGCCAAAATCCTGGAGGTAAATATCCAGATTGGCGAAAATAAGTGAGTTATTGAGTGTTAATCGTGGTTGTTAAGTGTTTTTGTTTGCCCACAGTTTGTACTTGCAATGGGGAATTACCTGAACAATGGCCAGCCCAAGAGCAACAAGACAACCAGTTTTAAGATCAACTTCCTAACTGAGGTACTGCCTTGACACCTGCGCTTCATCCACGTTATGTTCATCTCAGTTTTCGCTTTTTAATCATCCACTCTGTCCCTCTGTCTTCCAGCTAAGCACGACCAAAACAGTAGACGGGAAATCCACCTTCCTCCACATTCTGGCCAAGTCCCTGTGCCAACACTTCCCCGAGCTGCTCAACTTTTCCAGAGACCTTACAACAGTGCCTCTGGCAGCCAAGGGTACGGTGATGTTACAGCAGCACAGCTCTTTAACTCCGCGTTCCCTCCTGGAAATCCTTCAGTAGCAGAATGTAGTCGCTCCATCCTGTGAAATGTACACGGTGTGCTGGATGTCACCGCAGGGCCGGCAGACTTTACTAAAAGCATCTAATTTAAAGTAGATTCATGCTGTGTTTATTCTAATTGATCTTTAATGTACGTCTTAATAATAACCCAAGATAAGTTTGCATATTTGAATTTGATACTGTAAAACTACTGGTTGTTAATACTCTGATTTGTACCTTGTACCTTGTTCAGTGAACCAGAAGGCTATCACTGCAGAGCTGAGTGACCTTCACACCACCATCCAGGACATCAGGACGGCCTGCATGAAGATCCCGCCCACCTCTGAGGACCACTTCGCCTCCGTCATGAGCGTACGCTAACAGTTTTAAGTATTTAATGCACATAGAACTTCGGGGTTCTTTCAAATAGTTAAATAAGCAGATGACTACTACTCAAATATCTATCTGTTTTGGTGTGAGTTGTCCTTTCCAGAAGCCACAACCGGGTTACTCTAAATAATCCACAGATATTGTTGTGTGCAGTTTCATTTGGAACTGTTTTCCTTAATGTGTGACCTTTTGCACCCACAGAGCTTTTTGGAGAACAGCCACCCTGCGATCCAGTCACTGGAGTCCCTGCAGACCCGAGCGATGGAGGAGTTCTCCAAGGTGGCCTCCTACTTCGGAGAGGACGGCAAGTCCACCAGAACAGAGGCCTTCTTCGGCATCTTTGCGGAGTTCATCTCCAAGTTTGAGGTGAGCTCAGCACTGTAGTGTTCTCTTCAGCTGTGTGGACAGAACCTGTTAGGATAAGTTTGACTTGTTCCTGAAGGTGAGCAGCTCATATTTTGATATATAGTGCAGCTATATGGTTTCAGCTGGTCCTCTCACAGACTGACAGCAGCCTGCAGCTATGAAGTGATTAAGCTGCAAAGTGCTGCTGTCTGTGGAATAACCAAATGTGCTCTGAATCTGAAAATAATATGGTGAAATAAGCATAAATCAGATGAGATTATGGGTTTTGCCTTGCAGAGAGCTCTCAATGAGACCCAGACTCCAGAAAACCCCAGAAGCCCCAGACTGTCTTCCCCTCTGGCCTGGTAGAAGCAAGAAATGCAGGCGGATGTGTCGGGCCAAAACCGACAGGCTGGTCGGCTCCATTTTCACTCTGCTCTCCACAACCAAAGTGCCAAGATCACACACAGAGACACTCAAACCAACGGGAACAGAGACCACGTCATCTATAGCAAAACAGAATGGATTTACACTGTATCTATCTGTAGGTAACCACAACAGTTGATGAGTGCCCACGTGTGCGCATTGCTGTTATTTCAGGTGCTGGGTAGAGCAGGAACATTCAGGTGTCCGCAGGTCAACAGGAACTCACCGCACACTGACGACTCGAACCAGTCTTTTACATTATTTACATCTCCTTTGAACACACATTACACAGACACATTAGAGGAAGCATCCATGTACATTTGATCGACTGCATCTCGATGCTACATTAAAATGAGATGTAAGTAATGAAAACAACTGGTCTGAATATTTACAGATTACTCACTATGTTTAATATATGACTATATAAAGTTTATATTTTCTATCAGATCATATTTGAAAATTGTAAAGATTAAGCGTAGATGTAGGCTGATGACAGTTATCTGGAATCAAGGTGATTCACAAGTGTAGTTTAGTTTTTAGAGCCAGGCGGAGCTGCTCGGAGTATTTGATCGGACTGTTCGTACAGTGGTGCACTCACTGCCTCCCATACAGCCCGATTTGATTTAAAAATAGTGGATATTGCAGGTTTGTTTTCCAACATTATGTATCCACATTGCTGATCTAGACTTACAGATGTGGTCATTCTCATCTAACCTACTGTGAATTTAAAGGGCATCTATTATGGGGATTATAATAACATAAAAAAAAAAAAAAACGATTTTCTCTCCCTTTACAGTTAAAAGTCCAAGTTATCCACACCCAGCTCTGGTTGACTGTTGTCCTTTGCAGGGGACATATTACATCTAATTTACTACTTCATTACTACATACATGTCATTTACTATGGAAGAAAAACAAGGTCATAAAGATTTACATTTTTAAATAACGGTATACATAATTGTGAATCTTAACCACTAATCTGATTTTTAATATTACAATTGTAATGTAATTTATAACATTTAAATATTAAATATATCTATTTGAATTTGAATGGTTTGATTTACCCTTTTTCAGTTGGTAATTTTCAAGTTGTGCAATTTCAAAAAGTCGATTTGAAGTTTCCTTTTTTATGGTTCACTAATTGAAGTAGAAAATTAATTAATCCATTATTCACAATCTGTTTTCAAGTTACTCGTGCAGCTGGTTATTTTCTGATCTAAAGTCAGGTTACTTAAATCCTATTGGTGAAATTCTGATATCAAATTCAAGATAAAAAAAATGTAACATAAGCAAAGAAGCCTTAAGGGCCACTGTCCTATCAGGTTATAGTCATAGTTCTTAGTCTTGTGATCCAAGAAATAAAAGTTCAGATAACTGGAAACACCACCCAACTACATTTTATATCTGAGTTGTGAGACTTGAAAAGAAAGTTTATTTATTAATTTTCAAAAAAGGGAAATTCAAACCAAATAAATGGTAATATAGATGGTAATATTTCAGTGGTATTTAAAGTTAGCATTCTGTATTCATTTAAATTTCACAGTTATGTATTAAGTTGCTTAAATTTAAATTTTTTTGCCCTGACTTGGCTTCCATAATTTTTAGCAGTCTGTTGCTTTTAGACGACAGTGAGTCCATAGAAAAAATGGCATTAGCTACCTTACTCCTGAAAACCAGTGGGCGGTCAGGGTTAACCTTAGCTTTCAGCTCCCTATACAAATGTGATCAAGGATGAAGACATGATTACATTGTTTTGCTTTAGTGGCTAAAACATGAGGTCATCCACCTTTACCTTTATTTCCCCCCTGATCGTGAACAGCCACTGACATCAGGCCAGTTTACACCACATGAACTCGGTAGCCTCTGAAGAGGCTGTCAGCCATTCAGCTGACAGCTATCATTCATTGTGATTCTTCTGCCTGTGTGGGCTTCATTCAATAACACACATTTATTTGCAAAACATGATTCAGAAGAACAATGTGGCACCTTTCACAGGGCGGTAACACTGACTGCTAAGCACATGCTGATATTTGGCTCAAAAATCATCTGTTTTAGAGAACATGTGGGTGGAACAGCACATCTTTTCCAACAATTAGTGTCTTCTCTTTGTCGGTGCAGAAAGATAAGAGGCAGGTTTAATCTGAAAAGGCTGAGCTGTGTGCGTCTGGCAGAGAGGACGACTAATAGTTCTGCACTTTGTCGAGTGTTTCCGGAGCATTGTGTACACAGACCTGTTCAAACAAGTGGGTGGCTGCTGAATGAATGAACGTCAAACGCATGTGGAAGAAAAAAAAAAAACACCCTACTGTAAATGGTCATTTCCTGCTCTTCTGGTCGTCATGGTGATCTCATGACTCATGTACTAGACTACAGTACAGTGTACCTGTAGCTGTGTTGTATTTATGTCAAACTATTGTTGAGATTGTAAACTGACAGTTTTTGCTATGCACTGCTCATCATTTTGTATCGTATGCTCGTTTGTCCTCCAAGTCCTAGTTTATTTTCTTATTCAAGAGTGTCATCAGGAAATCACCATTTTCTATATTCTTTATGCGCAGCTTTAGTCAGGCCTACGAGGCGACTGTGATCTCGTAAAAATGCAATCCTAGCTGCTACTAGTGTAGTAACGGTGTTTCTTGTCCAAATCAATTGCATGTTGGTGCAGTTAATGTATTAAGATGTGCAGCTGGTAGCATTTACCCTCTTTGGATATTTAAGTTTAAAATAAATACATTTCTGTTAGTCTAGTTAGGTTTATTTATTGGTTGCCTCCAAGTTTCCCTTTTGTAACCGTTTTATATGTTTTCATGGGAAGTTGCTCATGTTTTGTGATTGTTTGACCTTTCATGTTTTGTTCAATGCTTTCAACTGAAGGATATGTTTTTGATCTATAAAAATATCATGCTTGAAAGTAATAACTGCCCTACTTCATCTGTGCCTCATGATGAATAATCTCTAGAGACTTCTGGTACACAGTTTGTGGTATTCATTCAATTACAGCGACTTTATAAACTAATTTGGGTTTTTATTTCTCTTCAGTTTACAACCCTAAATATTCCTTCTGTACTTTTTATACCAGATTATTTTAGGATCTTGAGTTGACATAAGAGACATGAGTCAGTCAGCTCTTTCACACTCGGTGTTATGTCACATCAGTGTACACAAAAATATATACCATGAGTACATTTAAATAGTTTCTTCATATACTTTATTTTCTTTGGAAAGGGGGTATAACCAAGCATTCATATTACATATTTTTATTCCATATTTAAGCTCACCAGACGGCATACATACAAAAACTATGGAGCTTAAAAATGCAGCATTATCATTTCTAGTTTAATGGCATTTGTTCGTCTTTAAGAGCCACCGAGCTCTCTTGATGCACAGGGATAAGGCAGCGAGGTACAGGAGCGAAGAGAGAAAAGGAAGGGATTATAATGCTCGATTGTCTCTGAAAAACAAAAACAAAAACATCGTTTTCAGGAGCAACTGCAGCTTCCAAGACTTTCTCCATTGGTACCATATTGGGTCTCACATCCAAAAAGCCAAAAAAAGCAAAGCTTACACAGAAAATACAACAAAGCACTGTTTTATCTTTTGACCTGGCAAAAATAAAAAATCTAACACCACATCACTACTGAGCTTTCACAGCGCTGTGTGCTCAGCTCAGTGGGAAAGACTGAAAAAATAAAAATACAAAATATCCTCTAAACCAGTTCACTAGGAAACCACTCATTGGCCAAGTGCAACATCAGCGGTTAATGCGTCTTTCTGTTCAGGCTGCTAAGAATTGTCCTTTCACTACATTCACTCACACGCAGCCCGGTGCTTGTTGCTCTTCCCCCGGTAAACGCCAGAGAAAAACACAAAAGATCGATGGGAAAAAAACAGAAAGACAAAATACTGACTGTGTTCAGGCTGGGAGGGCGGTTAACCCTGCTACTTCTGCTCCGAAAACCCAAAGAAATCAACCGAAAACACATTTAAATACACATCTTCTGTGGAACAATACAGAACCCATATAAGGCTTCTACCGCAGAGGGTCCGATCACCTTCCTTACATCCCTGAAACATATGTGTTGCCAAGACAGCTTCTTGGAAATACTGTAGAACTAGGAGCCAATATATCCTCCGTACAGTAAATATCTAATGCTTATTACGTGGTCCTGGGAGGAACCGATAAGGCATGATTTACATTTAAAGACTGCATTAATTATGTCAAGCCACAGGGAATGTGTGTTGTGAAATCGGTAAATAAATACAGGAGTGGGGGGGGGAAAAGGAGGGGTTTTCAATACAAAAAAAAAAAAAAAAGAGGTAATCAAGTGGTTTGAGACGACTGGAAAACCTGCAGTCACGCAGCTACACTTTAAGCAACAGTTTTTGGTTTCTACTCCTACCTACTGACCCCCCCCCCCCGTGCTGTAGAAATATCTCTTCTTATTTCACTTCTTGTTTTAAGACCGTTTTTCAACATAAGAAAATACGAAAACACCTCACACCAAATTCCAAACGAGTCATCAGTCTTTTTAACAACAGATTTTTGGGCCCCCCACCCAGCCCCTTCCTCAGTCAGTACCCATGCTTCATCTTGCGATGAATCATCATTAACAGTTGTCTGATGGCGTTACTGGTGACTCCGTGGTCCTCAGCTGTTTGTTGTTGATTGTCTGGAGCTTGATCTGTAGGGAGTGCCCAGCATAAAACAGAAGGAGGTTGGTGTGTGTGGTGTTGTGTGTGTGTGGTGTTTGTGTGTGTGTGTGTGTGTGTGTTGCAGTGTAGAGGCTTTGTGTCACAAGTCTCCTCATGACCACATGTGGCGCCATCATGGAGGTCAAGAGGACTCTCTGTGAGTAAATAATGGCTGATAACAGCTAGACAGAGTGAGAGACACCTGAAGAAGACTGTGGCGGTGGGGCTGAAGGTCAGTTTACATTCACTATGAGTCAAAGGAAATGGTCCAATACGGTGATTCTTTACTCAATTAATCAATTTGTCAATAAAATGTCCAAAAAAGTGAAAAATGCCAGGTTTACAAATTCAACTTCCTGATTATGATTACTGGACTTTCAGCTCTAACTATGACATATTACAGGTCATCTTATATATACGATATAAAGATAACCTAAAATATTGATGTTTATTTGACTTTGGAATCCAACTAACTGTAGTAGCTGCTAGCAAATGGCATGTGATTGAAAGAGTGTACAACAAGAAAAGGTTGAGCCGATCAAATACGTTTGTATCTCGGTTTAAATGCTGAGAATTAAATCGTGCAATTGGGGAAATGAGCAACACGTGTTAACTTTGTCGAGTCAATTTTGTTGCAAACGCAGTCTACTATCACAGCCATTGTTTACCAAGAGCGGTGGACCTCCATCATGGCTGCCAGAAGGTGCGTTATGTCACATTGAAGTCCTTCATACAGGCTGGACTGGGAGAAGATGACAGCAGAGGTTTTATTCTCTGAGGCGGGCTGCAGGACGAAAAACACGAGCAGACTAAACGAGGTGTTTGAATGACGGGAGGAGATGCGTGTGTGGGGGGGGTACTGGACCAGAGGGCGTCGTCGTCTCCTCCTTATAGGACAGTGCTCTCGGTGTCCAGGTCATAGTCTTTGGGAGGAGGCAGGGAGGAGGGGGAGGCCGTCACTGGCTGCTGGTCTACAGCGAACTCAGGGACCAAAGCTCGACTCAGCCCTTTGAAAGACATCGCCGGGTCTGGAGAGCAAGACAGAGGG